GAGAGAGAGAGAAGAGAGAGAGAAGAGAGAGAGAGAGATGAGAGAGAGAGAGAGAGAGAAGAGAGAGAGAGAGAGAGAAAAGAGAGAGAGAAGAGAAGAGAAGAGAGAGAAGAAGAGAGAGAAGAGAGAAGAGAAAGAGAAGAGAGGAGAGCAGATCCCCAGTTCCGCCCAGATCCTGCTCCATTCCTCCGCTCCAAGAATCATCTGCTCAAAAAAAAAAAAAAAAAAAAAAAAAAAAAAAAACTCTTATTGAACCCACGCGGTGTTTATGTGTGTCAATACATGTCTAGGAACAGGATGTTATCAAGAAACCGATATCCTTTCATTATCGTTATTCACAGCATTAACATTTGCTCTTAGTTCTCATTAATATATGTTTAGATGTGGCAATGTAAAAAAAAAAAAAAAAAAAAAAAAAAAAAAAAAAAAAAAAAATTGAGCAAGGATTCGCTTTCCATTTTGTGATTATTTCAGTCTACATCATCTCATTATAGTTATTTTTATGGCCTTTATTAAAACATCCAAAGTCGTATACTATTTGAGTATTTGAATATGATTTATGGGAATAATATGTTCCTAAAATCTTTAGTTTTTTTCTTTCGATTCTTCCATATTTTTACGTTTATATATATCGTATTTCTTTGTGATTGATATCTGTAAGTCATTTTTTAAGTAATGATTTTTGTATCTATCACCCAGTCCTTGTTAAGAGTTTGTGTTTAAAATATACCCCATCAATTAGTGTATTTACCTATTGTTCGTAATAGTTTTATGTACTATCACGCTATCAATCCGTCAGCCGAGCTATCTCGCTGATTTGAGAGAGAGAGAGAGAGAGAGAGAGAGAGAGAGAGAGAGAGAGAGAGAGAGAGAGAGAGAGAGAGAGAGAGAGAGAGAGAGAGAGAGAGAGAGAGAGAGAGAGAGAGAGAGAGAGAGAGAGAGAGAGAGAGAGAGAGAGAGAGAGAGAGAGAGAGAGAGAGAGAGAGAGAGAGAGAGAGAGAGAGAAGGAGAGAGAGAGAGAGAGAGAGAGAGAGAGAGAGAGAGAGAGAGAGAGAGAGGAGAGAGAGAGAGAGAGAGAGAGAGAGAGAGAGAGAGAGAGAGAGAGAGAGAGAGATCGGCACACGTGCATACAATTAGCAGGAAACAAAGCAATAAATACATTTTACATTATTAGTTAGTCTGGTATCAATTTCTCCCTTAAAAGCGTAAATTAAATTAATTGAATTCTTAAATTCTCCATTCACATTCTCCTCCTTGTTTTCCAGTCACGGCGATGACGAGGACGAACTCTGGTCCTCCGACGACGACCCTGACTGGGTACCCGAAGACCACAGCAACGAGGACAGGTGAGTTTGAGAGGAAAATAATTTCAAGTAATAGACTCTACCTTGGTATCTACCTTGCACCAAAGACACATCAAGGAAAATGCTATCCGTACCCATTGTTCGTAAAGTGGACTCCCCTTAGCATCGAGAATCTGTACAGGGAGTAAAATTTAATAATTTCCTCAAATCCTAAAAAACTAATAATCATAAAAGGATTAGCAAACAACCTTAACGGTCTTACCACCGAGCTTAACCACTCCTTCCTCTGTTTGTAGAGAATATTCACAAACAACAACGCCATAAGTTATTGTTAGATGCCCCTCTACCAGTCCTCAATTCAAAGCCTGAACAACAGACATTGTACCAAGATATATGGTTAGCTTTTCATATCATTTTTCATATCATTTTCATATCATTTCACATGCTTGAGTACAGGAGGAGAGTGTCATCAAGAGGCTAATCATGTTACTCATTTCGAATCGGGAAGTGTGACGATGCAATATCAATTATTTTAGCTACTATAAAGATATGAGTATAATTGGTAACTTTTAACAGACAGCGAGAGGTGTATCTAACTTATTCGAGTAAACGGTGACTCATTACTGTTACCCTTGAAACACTCACAAGATCACTTAAGCCTTTAAAGACAACGTGAAGTGAAAAATAAACATCGTAGCCTCCAAACCCATTGCTTTATTTGCATCTTACGCATTTAATGATGAAAGTTCGAGTAAGTGCCTTCCCACTATCGCCAGGGTAAAGCAAACTCTTCTAAGATATGCTTAATACCAAGATATATTAATACTTAATACCAGTTTTTAATACCAAGAGAGAAATAATTTAACAAGAATCCGTTCATTGAATTCACTAATTGGATGACGAGGCATCGTTTTAGCTAACATCACTTTGAGTATCATAAACACCTATAGACCGTACTGCAGTGTAAGCAAACTAATACGTAAATAAAGTGGTATTATAAGATGTTCTCCGTGGATAGATGATGTCACAAAAATTGCCTCTAAATAAGATTACTCATAGAATAACTTTTGTTCTCTTTCTCTTTGTCTAGAATACGTTTCCAAACCCTTTCCGTTAAGATTCATGTAGTTTTTTTTAAAAATTACCTAGCGCCCATATACGCACGGTCCCATGTTCACAAATTTGGAGCATTACTT